CGCGTCTGAAAACAAAGTCACAGTAAGCATAAGGTGATCAGAGAACTCCACCGCTCGACACTCAGGTGTCGAGAAGGCAGAGTTCTCCTTTAAAAAAAACCTGTCTATCCTACTCTAACTGCTACCTCTCCTAAACATGAAACCAGTGCTGTCTGGGTTGCTCTTAACCAAGGCATCCACCAGACCTGCTTCCCTGACTATTGTTTTCAAAAAGACGCTATCATATCCCAGCCTGTCATTGGAGCCCCTCCTGTCCTTGGGCCTAGTTATGGTATTGAAGTCACCTCCACAGACCACCAGCCGGGATGTAAATAAGAAAGGCTTGATCCTTGTGAAGAGACATTTCCTGTCCCATTTGGACTGCCGTCCATAGATATTAATTAGGCGCAGTTCCAGACCCCTCACAAGGACATCCAAGATCAGACATCTTCCAATCTCCACCTCAATTACCCGCCGGCACGTTACCATACTGGTAAAAAGCACCGCAACTCCGCTGTAAGGCTGGGCCGCAAGAGACCAGAAAGATGGACCACGCCTCCACTCCCTTTTGGCCAGATGAATGTCAGCCAAGCTGCACAACTGGGTCTCCTGCAAAAATAAAGCATCAGCATCAATACTGATGAGCAAAAATAAGGCTGTTTCTCTAGCACTTACAGATTTTAGGCTGGCAACATTAATGGTTGCCACCTTTAACGGAGCGGGAACTGCCATTAAGGTAATTGAGAATGGCCCGTCTTAACCTTCCTTTTGGTTTTCTTGGAAAGGTCCCTTGACCTCTTCAGAGACCCCCCCTCGTCCTCATCCTCCATCGGGGGAAGTAAAATCACCTGACTCCTCCCCCTCCCCAGACAGAGTCCCAAACTTGTTCCCCAGAACCAGATCCCCTCCCTCTAATGAGAAGACCGACCTGCTGGGGAAAGGACAGGCTTATTGCCCTTCTTAACTGTAGACCACCCTTTCTCCACCTGGACCCCCACCTGACCTCCCTGAACAGGAGCCTGGGATCCCTGGATACCTTATCCCGACGCAGCGGGAGGAGAAACTGGGGGAACGGACACAAAAGGCCCAGCTGTAACCTCCACCACCCCAGCCCCTTTGGCTGCCTCCACCAATTTCTTTCCCTTCTTTTGAAGGGGGATGGACACCCCGGATGATACTACTGGAATCCTAACTGGGTTTGTAGACTCAACCAGGGCAACCTCAGGGACCACAGAAACCTCCTCCACCTCCCCAGGGCCTGCCCCAGAAGGCAGGGTGGCCTTCGCTACCTCCTCCGCCGCATCCTCGGTATCCAGCCTGTCTAATTCAGCTAACTCCCCATCTTAGATGTTACGGAGGGCTTCAGGACATGAATTATAGGAATGCCCCACAGAACCACACAAGTTGCACCTTATTACGCTGCAACCCTTGGCCAAGTGCCCAATCTCCTGGCACAAAGAGCAGCGCATCACTGGACAGGTGGCGGCAAAATGCCCCTTGGCACCACACCGGTGACATATCCGCGGTTGGCCGAGATAAAAAATAACTAACCTATCCCTGCCAAGGAAAGTAGAGGAAAGAATATGCTGGATTACATTCCCCTCCACCTTCAAGCGGACAGTGGTTGTCCACCCGCCTGTCCAGATCCCCCTTTCATCTGTAATTTTACTCAGGGGTGCCATAACATCCCCATATCTCCCCAGCCACACCACAATATCTGCAGGGGGGATGGACTCATTTTTCACCAGAACCGTGATTTTCTTGGCCACGTTCTGGCGAGATATCAATTTTGGAGACAGACCAACCCACCTCGGGCTACGGGCATAGATGGAATCATATCTTTGCCAAAAAAGATCTAGCAAGTCTGGCCGCATAAAAGGCACGTCATATTCACCCGTACCTACTGGGGCAATGAAAGCAAATAGATCCGTCACTTTATAACCCATCTCAAGAATACAATCGATTACTTCCCTCTGACCTAAAGGGGGGCCCTCCCCTGTCCATTTTAACTGGACGACATTTCTGCGGGCAGCAGATGTCGGCAGGTTGCCTGCCCTAGCTTGCAGTGGCCTGGCCGGCCCCTGCCCACCCCTAACCACCGCCGAGTAGCTTAAAGCGGGTGTAACTGCAGGCGCACTCCCAGAGGGAGCAGGGTCTGAGGGGACCACAGCCAGGGCAACAGAAGGAGCCTGAACCTGAGGACCAGGGACCATCGGGTCAGACCCCTGAACCTGGGGACCCGGACTACCAGAAGGGGGACTGGACAAAGCAGAGCCCTGGAGTACCCGCACCTGCACCTCAGAAACAATTACAGGGGAACTAAGCAGTGCCTGGCCCCGCGGGGACTTGGGTTTGGGAACTCAGCCCACCAGATGGGGACCCCAACGGGACAGACACAACCCCAACACCTTCCACAGCCTTCAAGGGGGTGGAGCCAACGGGAACCTGCACCGGGGGGGGGGACAGGGGAACCCAGACCACCCGATCCCTTCACTGCAGGAGGTGCCTGCACTATAGGTATAGCCTCAGACATATTACCAGCAGGGAAGTCCATTGGCACGTCACCGCCAGACTTTGCAGAGTTCTGCAGCACACCTTCGGCCATCAGCACACCATCCTTTACTAACATGGAGCTCCCCAGGGAGCTGGGAATCCTCTTCAGTTGGACGAAAACCGCCCGGTCCTTCTTCACCGGCTTAGCCGGCTTACGCGGCATATTTTCTTCGTCACTTCTGGAATCCTCGGAAGTGAACCAGAAGTGGTCACTTCTCAACGCCGGCTCCATTTCCTGGACGAAACTGAGCTTTCCCACGATCTCCGCCTCCTCCACTTGCGTTCCCCAATCCGTGCTCTGCTGCCCGAGGGGGAGGGAGCCCGACTCACACATGGCCTCGCCGTCCTCCATATTGGCCGGCGCCATTTCCGAAATCGATGCTGCAGACCCTGCACTGGCTCACCTCCCATCACCGATGCATCTGACAGCTCCTCCATGGAGGAGACCTCGTCCACAGGGCCTCCTGCCGCCGCCACACACACTTGCTCCTAGCCGATATGAAGCGGCTATCGTTTGCATACTTCTACCTCAAGACTCCGCTCTTTTTCTTGAGGGCAACCACATACTTACCTTGGAGGGAGACCCTCTGCTCTAAGGCCTCCAGACCAGGCTTCATCGCCTGTCTCTTGGTGCTCCACACACGGTCATAACTGGAACGTAGCTTTTTAAGCACAAACTTAATTTGACCAATTTGGCCTCCTCCACCATCTTAATCTGAGCGACCACACGGTCTCTGTACTCCGCATGACCTTCCCCCTTCTTTGGGGATGTTCCCAGGTCCTCAATGGTGGAGAGATTGGGACCAGTACTAGGCCCCTCAGGGGGCCTTCCTCCTGCAGGGCCAGGCCCTGGAGCAGACATCCTCCCTGGGCTGGCTGGGACAATCAAGCCCCTGGCTTTTCAGGCCTTCCTGGAACTCAGCAGAGCTCTCCAACTTGCAACCACACCCGTCAGGAAAGGACTCACCGCTGGTGGTGCTGCTGGGGCTCACCTGCTGTGTGGGCTGCAGTACCGGTCTTTGCCAGCGGGTGCTTTCAGCAGCCGGGATCTCACTCCTGCAATCAAGCCATCACCTGAGGCTGATTGCAGGAAGTGTATTTAAGCAGTAACAGGCCTGCAATCAGTGCCTTGGTGTTTTCCCATGTGCCCTGTTCCTGTTTCCTGTATCCTGTCTTCTGCATTCTTGACTCTGACTCTGCTAGAACTCCGCCTGCACCGACCCTGGCTATTCCTGACCATTCTCCTTCCTGCTCCTGTTGTACCTTATCTGCCCAATTGTTCCTTACCCGGCCTGCCTGACCACTCCACCTTTCCAGCCCTGACTACACTTGTACATATTAATATTAGTTTAAGGTTTGCTTTTTGTTTGCACTGCGTTTGTATATTTGTGCAGCTCTTAATAAATTTTATTATTATTTCATCATTTCTGAAGCCTGCTGTTCCTGTGTTAGTCCACACATCTCTGGTCATACCTGGATCCTTGACAATTGCTGAGCTCCAAGACAGATTGTGGACATATAATATCTAGGATTTATAAGATCCTGGTTGAATTGGATGGATCTGGATCACCGTCGTTCTTGGAGGGTTGGGAAAGAAAATTGGGTATAAAAATTAATGATCACCAGAAGAGGAAAATGTTTAAGTTAATGCACGGAGTGACGAACACGAATATAGTTGAGATGAATTATAAATTTTTGTCTAGATGATATTCCACACCGAGTGCGGCACATAAACAGAGAGAAGAAGTATTACCTTTATGTTGGAGAGGGTGTGGGGCAATAGGGACAATGGCTCATATATGGTGGAAATGCCCAAAAATTCAGTTATTTTGGGAGAAGATAATACATCATATACAGGAGATCTGGAGGGCATCTATCCAGAAGGATCCATGGGTGTCTCTCTTCTATAGAACAGAGTTGTCGGTAAAACCATATAAAAACAGCTTATTATACCATCTGATTGGTGCGGCAAAGGGTTTACTTTCCTAGGTTTTGGAAGGCTCAGGGTCCACCAACAATGAGGGATTGGACAGAGTTGAATATGTTAGCAGGATGGTGGAACTTGTTATATGGAGAAAGATGAAATGGAAAAGTTTAGAAAGATTTGGGGTAGATGCAGGGGCGGACTGACAACTCATGGGGCCCCTGTGTCCTTGTTCAAACTTAAAAAAGCCTATGAAAAAGGTACCAGGGGCATCTCATGGGGCCCCCTACTGACCCTGGGCACTCGGGCAGTGCCCGAGTTTCCAAATGGTCAGTCCGCCCCTGGGTAGATGCTATGAGTTTAAAACTTTAAAAACAGAAAAATACTTAAAAATGAAAGGTCCTCCGATAGTACCAGAGAATTTAAATGGTTAACTAGTAGCCGACCGCAGATAGCCGAATGACGGCTGCACTGCGGCCGGCCAGTTCTGAGTGGACGTCATATGACGTCCCCCCAGAACGCGCTCTCCTGCGCGCCCCAGGGGGCGCGTACCCGGCGACGATCTCCGTGATCGCTGTGTCCTACGGACACAGCTGATCACGTGATGTGGTAAAAGGCCAATCACAGCGGCCTTTTACCACCTGATCAGCGGTGTCCAATGACACGCTGATCAGAGGGAAATGCAAGTGCCGGTTCTCGGCTGCACTTTCCTCACGCTGTCAGATCGTGAGGAAAGTACTGCCGAGAACCGGCAGTTGTCAGAGCGGGGATCGGCACCGATCATCAGGGCACTGATGATCAGTGCCCTGATGATCGGTGCCCAGCAGTGCCACCCGCAAGTTCCGCCCACCTGTGCCCTGCAGTGCGCCCACTAGCTCCGCCTACCTGTGCCCAGCAGTGCACCCACCTGTGCCCAGCAGTGCACCCACCTGTGCCACTCTGCAATTTCACACACCTGTGCCCAGAAGTGCCACCTACCTGTGCCCAGCAGTGCCACCCACCTGTGCCCACCCACCTGTGCCCACCCACCAGTGCTGCCCAGCAGTGCCGCCCACCAGTGCAGCCCAGCAGTGCTGCCAGTCAGTGCCACCAGTCAGTGCCCAGCAGTTGTGCCAGTCAGTGCCGCCAGTCAGTGCCCAGCAGTGATGCCAGTCAGTGCCGTCTATCAGTACCCATCACCAGTGTCACCTATCAGTGCCGCCTATCAGTGCTGCATATTAGTGCCGCCTATCTGTGACACCTCATTAGTGCTGTCTATCAGTGCCGCCTATCCGTGCCACCTCATTAGTACTGCCTATCAGTGCCCTTTAGTGCTGCCTATCAGTGCCCATCAGTGCCGCCTATCAGTGCCTATCAGTGCTGCCTCATCAACGCACATCAGCGAAGGAGAAAAATTACCTGTTTGAAAAATTGTATAATAGAAACAAAGAAACTTTTTTTTTCAAATTTTTGGCAATTTTTTATTTATAGCGCAAAAAGTAAAGTGCCCAGTGGCGATTAAATACCACCAAAAGAAAGCTCTATTTGTGAGAAAAAAGTGATCAAAATTTCATATGGGTACAATGTTGCATGACCGCGTAATTGTCAATCAAAGTGCGGCAGCGCTGAAAGCTGAAAATTGGCCTGGTAAATAAGGGGGTATAAGTGCCTGGTAGACAAGTGGTTAAAGAGATCTATATACATGACTAGATTAATAGGATGGGAAAGAGAATAAGATGAGATTGGACAGGGGTGTTTTGGGGGGTGGTGATATAATAATAAAAAAAGATGTAATAATCAAAAAAAGAACAGGTCTCGCCATGGTTGACCATATCCAGAGGTTGTCTTTGGGAAATAGACGTATGTGTGCTGCCAGCATTGCTGCAGAGGTTGAAGGGGTGGGGGGGGGGGGTCAGCCTGTCAGTGCTCAGACCATACGCCGCACACTGCATTAAATTGGTCTGCATGGCTGTCACCCCAGAAGGAAGCCTCTTCTAAAGATGATGCACAAGAAAGTCCGCAAATAGTTTGCTGAAGACAAGCAGACTAAAGGATGTGGATTACTGGAACTTTGTCCCGTGTTCTGCTGAGACCAAGATACACTTATTTGGTTCAGATGGTGTCAAGCATGTGTGGCGGCAAACCAGGTGAGTTGAAAAACAAGTGGGTCTTGCCTACAGTCAAGCATGGTGGCGGGAGGCATGGTCTGGGGCTGCATGAGTGCTTCCGGCACTGGTGAGCTACAGTTCCTTGAGGGAACCACAAATGCCAACATGTGCTGTGATATACTGAAGCAGAGCATGATCCCATCCCTTCAGAGACTGGGCCGCAGGGCAGTATTCCAACATGATAACAACCCAAAACACACCTCGAAGACAACCACTGCCTTGCTAAAGAAGCTGAGGGTAAAGGTGATGGACTGGCCAAGCATGTCTCCAGACCTAAACCCTATTGAGCATCTGTGGGGCATCCTCAAATGGAAGGTGGAGCAGTGCAAGGTCTCCAACATCCACCAGCTCAGTGATGTTGTCATGGAGGAGTGGAAGAGGACTCTAGTGGCAACCTGTGAAGCTCTCGTGAACTCCATGCCCAAGAGGGTTAAGGCAGGGCTGGAAAATAATGGTGGCCACACAAAATATTGACACTTTGGGCCCAATTTGGACATTATTACTTAGGGGTGTACTCATTTTTGTTGCCAGCGGTTTAGACATTAATGGCTGTGTGTTGAGTTATTCTGAGGGGACAGCAAATTTACACTGTTATACACGCTGTACACTCACTATACATTGTAGCAAAGTGTCACTTGTTCAGTGTTTTCATATGAAAAGATATAATAAAATATTTACAAAAATGTGAGGGGTGTACTCGCTTCTGTGAGATACTGTAGAACGCTTTTGTAATTTACACAGCAACTGGACGAAGTGGATCCTTCCTAAAATTCTAGGAAGAGATCACAGCCCTGATAGACTCCAGATTTCTTAAAAAAGAATATATGACAATGCCCATTGAAGTTATAGCGGATATTTGCATACCTTGTGATAGCATTAAAAGTGATTAAAAAAAAAAAGAAATGAAAAGGGCAGTGTAAAAATAATTTAAAATATCAAATTAACTTAAAAAAACCCAAAAAACACCCTCACCCCCCTGCGGGAACGAGTGTCGACCCTGTGCCAGTATGGAAACAGCAGTTGCACTATGCGCATGAGTTATCGCCGCGTCAGATCAAGGGCAGTCATTCCAGTACTAGACCTCCTCTGCAAATCTAAAATGGTATCTTGTAAAAGGCTTTTAAAGCGTTGCGTATGGATATTAAAAAGGTATGCAGTTTGTCACCATTGCACGGGGTATGCGCAGTTTTAAAGCATGTCATGTTTGGTATCTATTTACTCTGCATATCATATTTCATATTGTACCAAATAATTGCCCAATATATTGTGTTTTTGCGCATTAAAAGTAAAGAAAAGTGTATTTTTTTTTAATTTGTGTTTGAAAAATCGCTGCGCGAGTACTATACTAAAAATATATGTGAGCCCCCAGCTTACCATGAAAACTATGCAGTACTTATAGTAATTAGACTATGATAGTCTTTTTTTTTGTTGATGGACATACATCTATGTTTAGGTGGATATTTGACCTTCTTTGTATCCTCTGCAATTGCACAGACGCCTGGGCCATAGTGTCAACCTAGATGCATCATGTGTGTTTTTGAATTGTTTTGGAAGCATGGTTTTGATGGTAAGCTGGGGGCTCACATATATTTTTCTGGACAGTAAAAAAAAAAAAAAAGCATTGCTTAAATGCATACATTCAAGCGCACATTGATCTCTATGTTGGGATCAATGGGTCCCATAAGAGGCTGATTATTGTGGTTGTGGAATCATTGGGACCACACTTGTATGTTGAGAAGTTTTGTCACAGGAAATATTCAGAAGTATATGGACTTAGCACTTTTATAATTGAGCACTGTCTTGGAGTTTAATACATAAATATTTTTATATATGGAGTAATTGATGCACTTTATATTGAATATGTTTGTTTGCACGTGTAAAAGGAGTAACTTTTTCATGATTTATGCGAAGTAATTTTTTTACACTTGATGAACAAATAGTGTAGCGCACCTACACACAGAAGGTAAATCACATACATAAAATATATTGAATGCATATACAATCTCAAGGAAAGTTTGTTGTTGAAATGAATGGTCTAGTTACAGGGTCTCTATATAAGCCTTGATATAAACTTTAAACTGTCACTTTGCATAAGAAAGCCTGAAAAAGTAGAAATTATCATTGCAAATATAAATCAGCACCCTCACCCGCCCATATTTTTAGAAAAGAATGAAGATCATGGTTGCTGTGTGCAAAAATTTTGTTCTTCCAGACAACTTGATGCATCTTGCTGTTTATTATAACATAGGTAAATGTAGGTAACACTCATGAAAAACTGAAGTTTTACCTATTTTCACATAACACTGTTGACAGCCTTGCTTAAATTCATAAGTCAGCATCAGTGGGCTAACAGTCAAGGCCAGGGAAGGAACAGCAGGATGGCTCAGTGCAGGATCAATCTTGGGTATAAAACCAAGGTTTACAGTGTTTCCTCCATTCTGTTAAAGAAAAGAAAAAAAAAAACAAAAAAACACAGAAGTCATGGCGAAAAAAACATGTTTTCTGTTTACACATACCTAAGCAAAGTTGAAAATCATCTATAAAAAAAAATATTAATGGAATTAATTCAAGTTGTGAGCCTCTCTCTCTGAAGGACTTGTGAACCATTTAAGTCACTGCACTTTAGTTTTAAAGAGAACATGTAAGGTTATAAATTTGGGGGCTGCCAGATTTGACTTGGTTAAAGCTGAACTTCAGACAATTTCTAAATACACAAATACGTGAGATGGAATGCATACCATCGAACGTTACGTTCATACGCATGAGCCATATGACATTAAACCATTTTTTTTTTTTTAAAGCCTACCCCGACATGCATGCACAGTATAAGAATACTGTGAGAGCTCACATCTTAGGAACAGGCTCTTCCTGAAGGCATTAGTGACGTTGCCTTCCCAGGGGTCATCTGTGGGACCGGGCTACATTCAGTGGAACCAGGAAGTGGATGCAAAAAAGTTAAGTAATCCAAAAGCATTTTTTGCTTCTTTTTTTTTTTAATGTTAGATGATTTCACATCAGTATGCTGATGGGAAAATTAGAAAATGGGGATAATGTCCACTTTAAGCATTTCAGCAATGGCAGCTTTGATGTTTCCAAACTCGTAGGCTTCCATAAAGTCAATGCAAACCGAAAAACCTAGATTATTTTTGTACTCACCATAAAATTCCTTTTTCTGAGTTTATTGACAGACACAGCGGCTTCCTCTTTAACATTAACAAAGCAGCGTTTTATAGCCCCACCTACAAAAGTAGGACACTAGGAGGAAAAAAAAAGGCTTGGCACCCTCCTATGGACAGTCCTCTATGGGTATAAATCCACTTCTCTGCTATAAGTTTCCAGTCCATCTAAAGCAAAGGAGAGATTTTCCTAGAGGGGTGGGTGCAGTGTGCGTCAAATAACTTTTACGGTGAGTAAAAAAAATCTATGTTTTCTCTTACGTTCATTGACGGACACAGCAGCTTCCTCTTTAAGATTAACAAAGCAGGGATGTCCCCATGCAGTGCCAGAATGAAGGATGGGAACCATACAATGTAGAAAGAAAAAAGCAACCCCAGGGCAACAAACTTACACTCCAAAAGACCCCAAAAGTGGAGGCCCAGGAGCCCTAAACAACCACTTGCAACACTTTGCAGCCAAAACTAGCATCAGAGGATGCCAACTTTATAGAACTGCAAGAACGCGTGCACAGACAACCGGGTTGCTGCCTTGCAAACTTAAGAAACAGATGCCTGAACACCCAGAAGGCGCTAACTGCCCTAGTGGAGTACACTGTAACTGGGAAGGGTAGTTCCTGCCCTTTAACAGCATACGTCTGAAT